AGCTTATAAAAGAATAAGGAGATTATGTAAATTAACATGAAACAGGGAGGCATACATAATTTCCACCAAGCCAAGTTTGAAAGTACCAGCAATACAATAAAATGTAAAATTCAATCAAATGAATTTAAAATGGCCTATCATAACAATATTATCCCTCAGTACTTGAAAGAATAAATTCAGAATGCAAAAGGCTCAAATCAAGGAGAATAACCACCTTCTAAAAAATAGGTAAAAGGAAAATTCTTTGGAAATTGTAAGCAAAAGAACATTTACAAGCCCTATGGGATTTTCAATCATCTGATTTCCTCCAAAACAGATGTTTCTTACCAAAATAGAAAATGTTGAAAGCTCATCAACCCACATAAAACCAAATGCCTGTGAGCCATCCCCAATGTTATTTTTATTAAAAAAATCTATCAGTTCTTAAAATTAAAGAGTGCCCCCTCAATGAACTGCTCCTTCTCAAACGATGAAGATTTTCTTCCCTGAAGTGAGAAAAAAAACCAGGATGCTGGATGAATGAAGCTTCACAAACAAACTTGTCGAAGGTAGCAAGAATTTAACTATAACTAATTTGGTGTTCTTACTTCAAATCTTACTGTAGATAAAACATATTAGAAAGGAGGGACTTAGCACTTAGATTCTAATTATCCGTCAACAAGAAATCATTAAACTCGTATATCACAACCAATATAAAAGGGTTGAATACCTTTGAACTCTCCTGATCCCACCTCGTCACAACATGATGACCTTAGCTCCCGCAGCTTTCATTTTCTCAATAATCTGTTCCGCCTCTTCCTTGGACACTCCACTCTTTATCACTGATGGACTCTTCTCCACTAATTCCTTGGCCTCCTTCAAACCTAATTCCGTAAACGCCCTCACCTCCTTGATAACCTTGATCTTGGATGCCGCCTCAAAAGATTCCAGCTTTAGCTCAAATACCGTCTTCTCTGGCTTCTCTTCTTCCTTCACGGCAGCCTCCGCCCCCAAACCAGCAGAGACAGCACCAGGTAAAGTAGCGCCGGGCTTCATGACACCGATGACGGGAGGCTCACTCAAGGCCGCCTTCCGCATGAGGATGGAAGAGAGCTCAGCGACCTCTGCGAGTGTGAGGGAAGAGACTTCGTCAACAAGGCGCCATACGCGATCGGACGGCGGGGTGCGGTGCTCTGTGGGATCAAAATTGGAGGGATTGTAATCGGCTGGGAGCTTTCTCTGGTCGATCATCTCAAGCTCCTCTGCCCCGGAATCGTAAATCTTCGCCGGCAGGGAATAGCACCGAAGTTGGGAAATTGATGACGGGCTCCGCGAAATGAGGCGGTGCCCCGCCAATCTCAGGAGTGAGGCCATTTATTCTCTTAGCCACGGTGACAACGCTAGGTTTAGGGCTTTGACGTTTGAGATAGCATCGATGCAGCGAAGGACAGGGAGAGCTGACGGCTAAGTAGCGGAACCTTTGTGCACTACATATCTACCAATATATTTAAGAAAATTATTTCTAAATTATTTTTTTATCAAAATGCTCCTAATGAGGCATAAGATTCGTTTGGGACAAAAATTATACTTAAAAAAAAAAAAAACAAAAAGAAAGAGATCCCGAACCAAGTCATAATCTCCTAAATAAATAATTTGCAAAATTTAAGAAACATGGTCTTATTTTTTTATAGTTTATTTTTTTTATAGATGTTGAGTTTATTTAAGTCAAATTTAATCTATTCTTTTCTTAGTTAATTAAGATTATAATATTTTTAATAAAAAATATATTTAATTTTAATATAATTTTTTGAGAATTTAGCGTGAAGAGAAATTAGGTAATTTTACCATCATATCGACAAGCTGATAGTGAATGAATATCACTAGCCCATCTAACATACAATGATATTGGCTAGGAAATATTTTCAACATTTTAAGTAGGGGTGTAAGTGAGCTTGCCTAAACTCAGCTAGTTAACGAGCTTATTGAGCTAAAAGTTTTAGTTCAAGCTTAAATTATAGAGAAATTATTCTAAGTGATTATAGGATGGCGTCTATAGGCGAATCAGGATACGCTACATCACTTTTTAGATGTGTACTAGTGTTTTGAACCACTGTATACTAGATGACATGACGAATTCTGTTTAATTTCCCTAAATTATGGCTCGTATATTATACTAGCTTGAGTACAAACTCGGCTTAGCTCATTGGCTCTTTGGCTTGTCAATAATGACGAACCCAAAAATTTCTTATAGGGGAACCAACTTAATTTTTTAAAAACATCCCTCAACTTTTTCATCCTTTCTTGGGATTGGCATTAACAATTTTAAAATATCTTTTCGTTGAATTTATTATTTTTAGAAGGTAAAATATTAAATATAAGATGAAAAATACTTATAATTTATAGCATCCACTCTTCACATTATGAAAAATATAAATAATAACTTCATTATTAATGCAGTATAATGTTTCTTTCCTAATATAAGTGGCTAAAGTGTCATTCATTCACTGATCTACTGTGGTCGCAACGTGTAACACTAATCGCAATTTTAATAAACTAAAAAGAAGGGGATATAAAGTATCTAAATAAGGGGATATAAAGTATCTATCAATTATCTCAGTAAACTTACAAACTTATTGTCACAATCTGACCTGATATGACTAGATATCACGAGGTCATATAATGTCCGATTATGACAAGCTTGACCCCAAGATCTGATTGGAGAAGTACTTAAATAAAAAATTCTAATTTATATATAACATAGAGTCACTATTGAATACAATATAAAAAGGAAGACTACTAAATCTCAAAAAATAATTTTCTATATATCATCCAAAAATACATCTACAATAGTGCTTGAAAATAACCAACAAAATAAATAAAGGCCAATCCTGTAAAAATCAACTAACAAAAACATACTTACAGCACAAATTAGAGCACAATATCCACAATTACTCAGCTTGCTCCTTACCCTTCCCCTGGCATGAAAAAAATGGAAGAAGAAGTAGGAATGAGCTAACACAGCTCAATAAGCTATTGTAGACTAAAACATAAATTAATAGTTAAAGCCAAAGGAAAAATTAAAATATTATGCTGTAAATAAACTAAAGAATTGTACCAAAAACTAAAACTAAAAGTGAAGAAGAAGTTTAAACTGAACTTCATATATGTATTTAAATAATTTTGGAAGCTGTATTAAAACCAAAATGAATTATAAAAAAATAATAATTTTATCAAAATGGATCTCAGCCCAAATTTTCTATTAACGAAGATATATATATATATATATATATATATATATAAGATTTTAAAAGGGTTGATTAAACTTATCAAGTTTAGATTGAAGTCGAGTCAAAACCAACTAAGCTCGACGACATTCAATTAGATTATTATATTCAAAATTATATTAGATTTAGATTGAATAATAGAGTTGAGTCAGTGCTACATCAGTGGGCGTCCACTTAAGGGAAATCCTGCGGGTGACGTCAACACTAGGTTACGAAAACTTAGGTACTAGAGTCAATTCCAGGGAAATTGACCTCGAATAATGAGGTCAACAATATTGTCGAATAATGGAGGTCTAGTTATAGAGTAACCCTCGAGTGTATTTTGGTTTCCAAATATAGCCATCTACGTTAATAAAAAAGTAGTCTAAACTTATGATTTTGAAACAAAGCTCGGATACCACTTGTTGAAACTCGATCACTGTGAATTAGATTGTTAAATCTAAGCTTATGTCCCAGCGGCTAACCAAGAGGGGGGGTGAATTGGTGATTAAAAATTAATCCCTATTTTTAATTTTTTAAACAAAAAAATAAACTTTAATGAGTTTTGTAGAAATAGCCTTTTCAACCACAAATTAGAAATAAAAATCAACAAAATAAAAAAGAACAAAAAATAAAAGATAGAAGATTTATAGTGGTTAGGTCAAACTTGAATTACATCCACTCCCTGGAGGCACCCTCCAAGTATTGCAACAATACCACAAGTGACTCTCCTTTAGCAACCATAGCAAGGCGAGGAAGCCTTTACAAAAACTCTTTCCACCACTAACCGGTGCGGCAGAGAACCGTCATCCTTTTACACTATCCCCAGTGTTGGCAGAGAACCATCGTCCTTTACACTCTCCCTGTGTGGGCAGAGAACCCTTCATCCTTTCACACTATCATAGTGTGGGAAGAGAACCCTTCGGCTGTTCACACTCTCCTAGTGTGGGCAGAGAACCCTTCAGCTGTTTACACTCTCCAAGTGTCGGTAGAGAACCAGATCTCCTTGACAGATCTTCTTCATAAGAAATCTAGAAGGAAGAAAGAAAAAAGTAAAGTAAACACAAATCAAAAGTAAAGATTCTTACCTTTGAAAACCAAGTGAAGCCTTCACGCTCCAGTAGTAAGAATCCTCCTTCAAAAAATCTCTCCTTGATTGTTCTTTCAATAGGTACGAAGATCAGTGGATAAAAAGATTAAGTGGTAGTTTAGTTTGAACTATTTATAGGAAAGACACAAAAAACCATCTAAAAATTATAAATTTTTAAGTCAATACGCATTATATCGTCTAGTACGATCGTGAATCATCTTGGACGATTTAACTTAATTGTGCTAGAAATGAACCTAATATATATGGGTATGAAATGACTTCGTACACACACATCATCCCGTACGAAATAGGTTCATCTGGTATGAACGGCTATTCCATAGGTCGGTTCCCAAAAACTATAGAATGTTACTAAAATTTCAGATTCGGTTCACTTTGTCCTGGGACGAATATGGGTTCGTCTGGACGAAATTTTTTTAGAGAGAAAATCATCCCGGGATGAATACACTTCGTCTTGGATGAAAATACTCCAGAGAGCAACTCGTCCTAGAACGATTACACTTTATTCTTGAACAAAAATTTTCTAGAGAACATTTCGTCCTGAGACGAATACACTTCATCATGGACGATCAGGACTTAGAAGAATTTTCTACAACTCCTATTCGTTCCATTACTCTTACGAGGAGATAACTGACCTTATCGTCCCATACGAACTCAGAGTTCATCCCGTACGATCAGTACAAATTTCTCAAGATCTCCTAAAGTGTGTGTGTATATTCACTCAATTACAATAACTCCCTCTCAAATTTAATTCAAAGAAAAATACAAGTTTTAAATACATAAAGTATCTCATGCTAAATTTGATTTGAAGTCTTTCTAGTCTGGAATTTTGATTTTCCTGAATGTAAGACACATAAGAGCAAAAACAACTTTTCCAAAAAGTGTTAGGAGATAACTATACATATAATTATAATATTTGAAATCATCAAAGCTATACAAGTTGTAAGAATGTAAAACATGCAAATAACAACACTCTTAATATCGTGAACCAAGTAAAATACTCTTAATGATAAATTATTTTCTTCTAATATTGACATATAAATTCCAGAAAAAAATATTAAAAATTATGCTAAAACATCAAAATTGCTTGAAATTGATTGTAGAATTCCCTTTTAGCTCCGAAAGTGTAAAAAATATGAGAAACGATCATGAGGACCCTTAAAATGTCAAAATCTAATTGTCTAGACCAAAAATTTGGACTGGACGCGGCTTTGCTGTTGAACCAGTTGGCAAATCGGCCGCTACCACCACGCGTGCTACCTTACTACTCATGCACCCGCAGTGCCCTTCTTATCTTCCTTCCTACGTGTCCGCTTTTCCCCTCGTTTCCGCTCTACCCTACCCACCCGCGTGCTTGCCCACGATCCTTATGCCTTTCCATGTAGTTTGGCTCGCATAGCTTCATAATCGTACATGTGTTAGCCTTCCAATTGCATCCAACTGGTTTCAAAAACTATATTTTTTATTTATTTATTTTTAATAAGTAATAAAAAAATTAAAAACTTTTAGGAAAATAAAAAAGTTTTTTAAAATTTATGAAAATCTCCATAAGCATCTCCCAATCCCCTCCCGTGTGCCCTCCTTTTCACCTATAAATACCCACCTTGCGAGGTTAGGGAAAAAAGCACCCTCATTGCGTCTCCTTTCTTTCTCTAGCCTTCTTACAAAAGAGCCCTCCATTATCTTGAGTAAGTGGCATCCCCTATCAAATTTAGTGTCCTTCTTGGTTTAGAAGAAAATTTTCTCCTCCTTCCTTCTTCTTCTCTTCTAGATTTCTTCTAATTTAAAAGGAATTCCATTATTTTAGATAGAAGGCATCTCCTATAAAATTTCAGTACTCCTCTTTTTTATAGAAGGTGGAACCCTTATCTTTCTACTTCTTCTCTTATGAATTTCTTTCAACATTAAAGGCATTCCATTATCTTAGAGTGGTGACACACTCTGTAAAGCTTTAGTGCCCCATTTTTGTATAAATGGTGCAGTCCATACCTTTTTTCTTCTACTCTTATACATTTATTCTAAC